CAGTGAAATTCGATGGGATCGCAAAAATTTAGCTCATCAAGGAGAAATTTTCCCTAAGGTAATCTTTTAATCATAGATTGATTTCTTGATATAATAGAGCTTCCATCTTCGTTTTTCATTCGATTTTCATTATTTTTTCTAGTATTAAGGATAATATTTCTATAACCTTTGCCACTTGAGCACGGAGTAAAGTGCAATAAAATTTTAAATAAAGATGCGTAATATGTATAAAATCTGATTTATTAGCTCATTCCAGTCCAAATTTACTATTATCTTCGTTTTTAGTCCAAATTAATTTAATTATTATGGAGAGAAAATGATATTTTGGTCGAAATTCGGTTCTATAGCCTACTAGGGACTTCATTACAGATGTATTTCTTGAACGATTCATCACCATATTTGCTTCCACCAATAATTGATATTCAAACTAAATGATGTGACGATAATTTGACAAATTCTTAGTCTTTTTGTTTCTTGCATTTCGAACGACGGCAATCACTTTATCGCCGAATAATGGTCTTACTATGGTTGTTCACATGCTGAATTTTCCAACTTGAATCTATTAGCTCGAATTGCAGGAAGGCTCCTGCAATCCCATTTTGAAATATGGGAAATTTATTCAGCAATTACGTAAACTAACGTCAGTTTTTGGTTTGAAGTAGAACTCAAACGATGCTGTCTTGAATAAATTAATGACTGATGCAATGACAAAGTGGCCGGATCGAATGTACGTCGAGAGTATCTCCGAAGCAGCAAAACAAATCGAGGCCAATAACAAACTCATTCTCGTCTGCAGCCGAATGGAGGCTGAACGAATTTTAAGTGAGGAGTGTCGACTCTCCAAGGTGAATTTGCTTGAATTATTATTATTATTTTTATTAATTTTATTATTCATGGCAGTGGGCAAACATCCACGTAGATCTAGACAACCGAAAAACATCGGAAAAGAGAAGTTTCTAGTGAACTTAAAGCAGAGCCAAAATGGATGGGGTATTTGAAGTTTGCGGATCATGACTCATTCTAAATTAACTACTGAAGAAATAAGTTTACTTTTTGTCTTTCCAATTTCCAGCATTGAGCATGTATTTCACAGGTTAGGCTTAGAAACTTCTGAGCTGAATTAGTAGAAGTAATTGTATGGTTTGTCGTACAAACTCTACTTATTTATACCTTTTGAGCCCTTAAACATCTGTCAATGTTAGAGAAAATTTCGGTTAAAAAACCTCAAGATCTATGTTTACTCAAGTTGTGGAAACACAGTGGACACAGCGGAGTAATGTAGTTTCTTCAGACCACTCAAACGTGTACGAAATAGAACTTATAAAGGAACATTTTTATAATTATTTATTTATATTGAATGGCAGTCTTTATGATAGCTATCATTGGCTCTTTAAATGACTTAGGGACTCACAGAAGGGAGGAACAGACAAAGTCACAAAATGTCGAGAGAGGGAACAAATGAATGATTCATAGATGTAAAAGTGGCAGACAGACATAGAGGTTGAGAAAAAAAGGTAAGATTAGTACTGTGAAAGTGGTCGAGTATGACATACAGTCGGGTCATGATACTTTGGAGTGAGAAGTCATCTGCGGGTTTATAGACATTTTTGCCGTATGAATATAAGTTTATTTATTTATATCAAATGGCAGGCGTCTTGATGGTTATCATTAGCCCTTTAGTTGACTTC